AATGACAAAAACTCAAAAATTTGGAAAGAAATGTTTTCCAACTCAGAATTCTATATCCAGCCCAATTATAAATCAAAAGTCAGGATAAACCAATACATTTTCAGGCATTTGGAATTGTAAAAATATGACCACTTTGGACACATCTGCAGGAAATTTCTCAATGACATTTCATCAAAGTAAGAGTAAAGCCAGATTGTCCTAATAAAATAGAAAAGCACAGTGAATTCCTAGAATGATAGCACAGAAAAGTCCACAACAGCTGTGTAGCAGGCACATAGGGAAGCAAATCCAGTTTGGAGCAGGGTGGAGTACTGAGGGAGTGTGAGGAAGGATACCTCATGTCATAGGTGTGATGTGAAAAAAGAGAGCGCTTCTGGATCACAGAAAATGACTTAGTCAAATGCACAAAGAAAAGTATGGCAATGAGATAATTATTTACTCTAGGGGAAAAGAGTTGTAGAAAGAAGATAAATATAATTATAGCACAATGTGGCTCAGCAATAACAAAATTTAGTCACAACAATGAAAAGATAGACTACAGATTAAAACAAAAAACTATATTAGGATGATAAAGGAAAAGGGCATAAAAGCTAATTTCTCTGCTACTATAAGACAAATGATTAGTACACCAGAAACTATTATATGTCAGTTATATTTCTGAAAGGACAGGTGATAATGTTTAAAATTTCTACATATTCAGAAATATGTATATACTGGTAAGAGATTAAAGAGATTTGATTAGCATGCATCATTTTAAGAATTTAACTATATGACTTTTTAAAAGAATGTATATGTGTTGTAACATCTTTCTGTATGGACAGATAGTAACTACACTAGTTGGGGTGATTTAATAATATATATAACTGTCAAATCACTACATTGTATACCAATCTATACAATGAAACCAACATTGTATATCAAACATACATCAATAAAAATATATTAAAAAAAGAGTGTGTATGTCTTACTTCAATGTAAAATTTCATTTGAAAAAATTTTTTAAAAATGTTTTGTATTAGGGACACAATAGTGAATATAAAAGTTCATGCCTTACACAGTCGCAGGGGGGCCACCAGGTGAGAAATTTGGGATCAACAGAGGTGAGGCTCAGAACCTCACCCCCCCTGTTTTGAGAGAAATCTTCTGCATCCGTGGATGTTTTGCTGCCCTTGTCTAGCTTGGATTAATACTTAGTCCATAGGCACACACCTGATCATCTACATTTGCCCTCTTACAGCACTAAACTATGTTTTCTACCTTTATCTTGCATCTACCTACCACTTCAGCATTTTATTAAAAATAAAAATAATAATAATAATAATAAAGGGAGAAATGTGGGATCCACATATAAATCAAGTATAAAAATCAAACGAATATTCATATTTGACCTGATTGTTTATAGTTCATAATGCGTGATCAAAACCGAAAGTTTCTGTGATGAATGCCCTTGTACTGTTCACCATGTAAGAGTTTATTCACTATGTAAGAATTCGTTCACCATGTAAGAACTTGTTCGTTATGCTTCAGAAGACTGGAGACTGATGAGAATTAGGCTTGAGATGGATTAATGATTGTGCATTGAGCACTGACCCCGCTATGCAGAATTTTATTGTTGTTAACAACCATTTGATCAATAAATATGAGAGATGCACACTCAAAAAAAAAAAAAAAGTTCATGCCTCAAGGATTTCATTTCTATTGAAAGAAACAAAAAGTAAACTTACAATATGATTATAGCTAGTGATAAATATTATTCATAAAAATAGAGGAGGGTAAAGACAGAGAGTAAAGTGTGATGGTAAATGGCCAGGGATGCCCTCTCTAAGGAGTGACATTTGATCAGAAACCTGAACTATTTGAAGGAATGGATAGACATTGTTCTGGAAAACAGGGAGTAAACTGATGATAAGTTTAAGTTTGGTGGTTTGAAATCAGCAAAAAGTCCATAATTAAGAACCAAATAAACTAAAGGGAGAAATGTTAACACACCAGATCTGAACCCTCAGAAGTGAAGACTAACAATGCCATAGAGAGTTGGATATCAGTGCTCAAAATAACATGACATTCAGCAATAAGAAATGATGGATGATGAATTAAGATGTCATTGTAATTTGGTTCTGAAAATTAACTACAGTTTAAACCATATTCCATTCATCCTTAATTCTGGGTAAAACAAGGAATAACTGATGACCAGCTGTTGAGTACGACAACAGTGAGAAAAAGACCAAGGTCTATGAAGATTAAAAAAGAAACTTCTTTAAAAAAAAGAATGCTTAACTTTTGAGGTGAGTTTAAAGAGATCAGACACACATATATTTTAAGCAAACACAAAGATATATATACAAAGTTTGTAAAGATAACCAGATTTGAAGTTACTTCCTTCATTGATAAGAGTATTCAAGAAATCATTCTTCTAGCTGAAAATTAAGCAAGACTGCTATTATGTACTTTGTAATAGTTTTACTTAGAAAATGCATGCTGTAGTGTACTTATTCCTAGGAAGGTATCAAATTTACAAAAAAGATGCTTTGTGCTCTAAAATACTTCAGGAAGAAAAGAAGGGAGTGAGGCAAATACAGGGAGAAAGATGAGACAAAGGGGTCTTGAAGATAAGCAATTCACCAAGTCTGGCTGCATTTGAATCACCAAGGCACTGACGCCCCACCCAATTCTGATTCAACCTGTCTGAGGTAGGGTCTTGGGAATATTATTCTAATATGTAACCAAGATAGAGTGCTTTGGGTATCTCTGGATTAGATGTGTTATAGTAACACTGAAATTGTCCGTTGATTTTGTTGATATATTAAGTAAAAATATACGACTGAAGTATCTATCATATCACATTATTTAGTCTGCTTTAAAAATAACACAAATTGATCAAACTCTTCAACAGCTCCCATCTTGTTCTATAATACAGTGCAATGTCTTAAGCTGACATTCAAGGCCCTTGGTGATCTGGTTCTCGGGGTTAGAGGATTGACCTCCTCTAACAACCCCCCACAGACAAACTACCATACAGCCAACCTAAACTATTTTCAGCTTCCTATGTACCAACCTATTTAATTTCTCTCCCATTTGCATATTACTAATCCTTCTGTCCAGAGTAACATGCTCCTTCCACTAGGTTGGCCTAGCATGCCCTACGTAAACTATCATTAAAGTTCAAGCATACTTCTCTGTAGTCTTCCAGGAACCACCTGAGAATAATTAATCACTTACTTCTTGGATCATTACCACACTTTTATACATAATCTGTTAAATAATTTACTTTAACAGATTCCTCCCCCCCTCAGTCTTATTTACTGACCTTTGAATATTTTGAGAGGAAGTTACTATATATCTTTTCTGTTTGCTTTTAATCTTTTTATCTTCTATACCTAACTCTGAAGGCTGGTTTAGGGCCAACGACTAAAATGTTAGTTGCATGAATGAATGAGAATAAAATGACAGAATAACTACTAGTTTTAGATGTTCAACAGGAAAGTTAAAGGAAAAGAAAAATTCTAAATAAATAAGAGGGACTGAGGAAGCCTCAGCAAATATGTGACCCTAACAGCAGCCCATGAATGTTGTCTTCAGCTCCCAAATTTGCCCTCTACATCCTTCACTCCCTTCCACACAATAAGGAAGACTCAAAAGAGCAGTAACAAAGCAGAGGGAAGAAAGGGGAACTGAATGCGTTACAAAGGAGAACCATTGACCTGGTTTTATTTCTTAAACTATACAATGGTGTATTTCTTAAACTATAGAAAAAAAAAGTGATTACTGTAGTGATCTTTATACTTTTTATCATATTTTAAAATGCTGCTTTATAGCAAATTCACATAAGAGAGTAGAAAATATAAGCTGCTGAAAAAATAATATATTAAATTTATGGATATATTCATGAGGAGTTCAACAGGCCAGTTTCACCCACTTGAAAATTCATGTGTTAACTGCATATATATATATATATATACACACACACATACATACCTGTATGTATTATGCATATAGCTGTATTTATTTATAACTTGAAAAAATTACTTTAGTGTTATCATCAATCTACGGAAGAAGTGAACTTAAAGCCATTCATTCTTCTCGACTTTTTAAATCCAGAAAAAAAATACATTAACAATAAAAATTGGTATCACGTTAAAATACTGGTTTATGTTATAGCTGGTTATTAAGTGCAAAATGAAACCAGTTGAACTTAAAAACTGGTTTCGATAACTAGGAAAACATTGTGTTAAAAGAAAACATTCTGTTAAATGAATACCTAAAACTTTACCTATCGTTGGCCCCGTTTTGGTCTGGGTATTTTGTCTTTTCAGAAGACATCACATCTCATTCTGACTCAGAACAGGTTTTACAACTTCTTGGCCCTTTGAACTTGCAACTTTTAGATGTCTCATAACGAGCGCTGGACTAATTACGGGCATGCAATAGCCAACACAGAACCAAAAGTGTTCAGTTTGTCAACGTCTAAGAAAGGAATAAAGTGTTTAGGATGAAGGAGAAAACCGTGTATCTCAGTAAGACAACTCTTTCCCGAGCCCTGGACAGCAGAAGAAATCAGAAAACGTGAAGGCGCATTGGCTTAAAGAGCAGGGCGTTAAACAAAGTAGCACTAATAATTAAAAAGAAAGAAAAAGGTTGGTAGGTTTCGGAGCGGACACTTATCCTGAAGCATAGGATGCTTAATTAGAGAAGGACAAGGCCCTCAAAATGCTTCCAGGTATCATTTAGGTGCTTTCCGATTTGCTTTCGCTAAAATCCCAAAATTCTTAGTTTGGATTCTGGGACACCAAATGCCTCCTCTTCTGACTCCCCATTCCTTCCACACACCATGTCTCTCCTGCGCCTTTCCCAGCTTAAAATACTGAGTTCCTACCCGCCCCACTAAGTCACTTCTCAGGGTCTCAGGCCGTTTGTGTCCACCGAGAGCCCCGCTCCTGCTGTTCCCTTGGAGGCCAGACACTTCTCGTATTCAAGCCGTTGTGCAGCTCCATCCTTCTCACCTTGGTTACAGAAAAGGCTCCACAGTTTAGCGAAGATTAGCCCCATCATGAGCACCTGGGTGGGCCGCGGGGCCCCTCAGCAGCAGGTGCCGCCGCTCCGGGCCCCCCACCGCAGCGCTGGCTACGGGAATCGCGGAGAAGCCCACTGAAACCGCGTGCCACCGGCTGGTGGAGGAGCTCTGGTCCGCTGCTCCGCTACTCGTCGGAAAGCGCCTCACCGAGGACCCACCGGAGAGTCTTTTGTTTCGAGCCCAGTGAGCCCAACGCCGACCCGTAGCCCCCGCGATCGGAACCCACCTAACCACCAGAGCGTCTACCAGCTCCAAGCCCCACCTCCGCTCCGCCTCCTGTCCCTATTCGCGGACCACCAACCGCCGGAAGGACGGCACCATACGTAAGAGACCTTACGTTTTCCAGACTTTAGACGTGGCGTTTTCTTCGACTTCACTTCCGGTAGGCGGGCTCAAACTTTACGGTGGGCGGGCGGGGTGTGGGTGTGTGGGTGTAACGGACTTTCCCTCAGTGAGCGCTTCCTGTCTAAAAGCCGTTTCGAAGTGTTTGCCAGCTACCCTTTCTTGAAGCTCCGCTGTCTGGCAGGTGCGTCCCTGATCCTTAAATCGGGGATAGACTAGTTTCGCAAGCTGAACAGCCGCGATTTGCTGCACCTAAATGAGTATTTCTGACAACTGATCTCTTACTGTCACCCTGTACAGACAGGCAGGCTTGTAGTTCTGCCGTGATTCTTAATTTTGAATGGACTTGATTGGGAAACGATCTATGGAATATGGAATGCCTGTAACCAGACTTAACTTATGTGATAAACTTAAGGCCCCCCAGTTTTGCAAAGCGTTCGGTATTTTCGTGGATATATTCTTATAATACATTATTAAATTCGTATATATTCTTATTCGAAGAAATAAGAAAATTATTTTCTTAAGTTTCAACTGAAAATAACTTCCTTTAATTAAAACGGAATCCCAGTAACCTCTCCAGTTCAGTAAAACAGAAAATGCTTCAAGCGCCTTCAGCAAAATTCAAGACAAAGCTACTTAGAGCAAAAAAAAGAAATTAAATTCCAAGGGAAAAAAGTCGAACTAGGGAATTAAATTATATGTATATAATATTAATATTCCTTAGAAGAAACTACTATAAACTAGCTTTAGATAATACTTGGAAGAACTGGCTGCTGCCGGAAGGGCCGCACTACGTAATTGTTTCAATTTCAGTTTCTAGTCCATGGTCAGGTTCTAACAGTTTTAAAGTTTTCACACCCTGGCACGTAACTTTACTGTAATTCCCATGAAACCAGCTGAAGGGGTGAACTTAATTGAAAAGACTATGGATTTTAGTCAGTTAAAAACACACTAAACTATTTTGGTTACCTGTACATAGAGTGTTATGACTTACCGTGTCCTTCCAGTCTTATGTCAAGGACCTTTTAAGACTTATATGTGGGATAATGTGCTCCAACTTTCTGATACTAAAGGCAAGTTTTAACCTCCCATATAAAGGAAAAGGTATGTACTGAGCCTATGCAAATTAGTATAACTTTCATGACTGAATTGGCTCATAAGTAGAAATGACTGTGGAGGGAGAGGCTTAAAGGGACATTTCTAGTTCTAGTTTCATTAGTAGAAACAAACTGTATATTCTGTAGCTTCTTCAATTGTTAGACATAGATGTAAACCTTACATTTTACTTTTTCTTGGTTTCAGATTTCCAAGAACCGATTTCTGGAAAAAGGGCATTTTTGGCAGAGCTTTGAAGGAAAAAGGTACATATTTCTGAAATATTTTTGTGATGGCCTAAGATACTTTAGAGGCAGTAAATTGAATTATTCTTTCACTTTTAATTAAGTGGAATGCATATATATGAGCAGGGCTGTTCATATTTTTTTGGTTCTAATCTTTTGCAACATCTGGAACCTTTATTTTGAACGGTTCTTTTGTCATCTTTTTACAATTTACTTGAAAACAGGACTCTTTAAAATATTTTTTCACATTAGAAAGTTTTATTTTTAGATTTAGAAACTTGAAATTTTTATTAACTGGTAGTTAAAAAAATTAGTCTCAACTGAAAAATGAATATGATTAATGAAATAGTTGTGGAATATCTAAATAGAAATGCTGATGTACTACAATTACTGATCTGTTAGAAAAAAGTAACACTTTAGTCCATCTTGTGCATTTGAAACATATAAATTGTAGCACAAATACTTGTTAGGAATTTAATCAAAGTAGGAAATTTTGAGTAACATACCTTTGTAAATTTTTTTCTTAAAACATCCCTTTAAATCTTTTAAAAATGAATTTCAGTGTAGCCCTTGATGCAAAGGAGGTAACACAATTTTGTGGAATGTTGCTATTTGAATATAAATATATTGAAATTCACGAAATAAGAAGTTATAAAAACAGGAACATAATGCCATCATTAGGCTTATAACTTATTTTCTTAAATATTAATTGGAAATAACTTCCTTTAATTAAAATGGAATGCCAGTAGTTTTTCTCTCCAGTTCAACAAATCTGAAGAAAAAGGTAAAGGAATAGATGTTCTGAGAGCAAAACAGAATGAAATTTCAAAGGGTAAAAGGAATTAAGAAATCGGAAATATAATCTGTATCTAATATTCCTTACAAGGAACTACTATAAACTACAGATAATACTTGGAAGAACTAGTTACAGCAGGAATGGAAATCAATTTATTACTCAGTTAACAAAAATAAATTGTATGCATAGCTTGAACCAAGAGTCCAGGGACAGCATGTTTTGCTAACTAGGAATGAAACTTAAAAACACACAAAACTAAAAAAAAATTCTCCTAAATCTTTAAGATAATGTCCACAGTGACTTAAGTCTAGTTGGTCAGTCTTCAGATGAGTAGAGATTGATAGATTCCCAGCCTTTCTAGACATTTCTTTCCAAATCTCCTGCCTTCTTCATGAAATAAATACTGAATAGATTTTTTTTTTAAATTTTGTTTTGCTTGTAAGGTTAAGCTTGGGAGCTCCACAAACTAAGATTTAAGATTATGGCATTGTATCTGAAATTTTTTCCCCCCACCCCCATAGGGGTCTTCCTTTGCTTAGACAATATGTATTGACTATGCCAACTTCAGATTTATAGTATGCTTTCCTTGGACCCAACCTTGGAGCACTAAGAGGCCTCTTCATTAACGTAACTGTCAATACAATATTGCCTGTCAAGGATAGTCTGAATGTTCTCAGCATTGTTCACATGTGCTGAGCTTGGTGAACTGATTTCTTGCAAACACATGCTTTATCAGCATTTTCTTTTTCTTGTTCACAAAGATGTGCTCCATCTATTCATCTAGTCATTCAATATTTGAGTGCCTATTCAGTGGTGAGCTAAAGTCTCTACTCTCAGTTTACAACCTAGTTCAACTTGTTTTTTCTTCTCCCTTATCTCCTACAGCTTCCAACCATTATTGGTGCTATGGTCCCCACAATGTTGAGGCTGCAGAAAATTCCTTTGGTCCAAAAAATGCCTGGTCCAGACATAATCCTAATCACTTTCAGATGATTAAGCCATGGAAAAATTCCATGAATTTATTGAAATAAGCCGTGGTGAAAAGAGTAGGACTGGCTTTAGAAACCACATGCCTGTGGTTTTTAGCCTGACCTTCTCACTAATTGTGAGGCCTGGAGTTATTTCAGCTACTTGAATCTTGTTTTTATTCGTCTGTAAGAGATAACAACAACCAAACAGGGGTCCTGTAGCATAAAGGCTGTAATTTAAAACTCTGCAGGAACTGGTTCGTGTATCATAGAAAGTAGCTGTATTACCTAAAAAAAAACAACAAACATCTCCATGTGAGAAAAAAAAAAAAAAAAAAAACCAAACCCTTTCCTAGTTATGTGCCAATGATCATGGTATGATGCAAAAAAAACCCCATTAAGTCAAGGAGACAGAATAATAGTTTCCCGTTCAATCATAAAATGGCCCAGTGACTGTCGTTAGGTACCTTCTCCCTTTGTGTCTTTTTATCTATAATATAAGATTATGCCAAGAGTTTCTCCATCTTTAAAGTACAAATCCACTATGATGGAGGTAATTGGTAGTTTTATTCAACTAATTTAAATACTGTCTGGGTTTTTAAGTTTCACCTGAGCATTCGTGGATATTAATGTACTTCTAACCCAGTTTTCAAAAATTTAATGTTCATTCACAACTTTAGTCAGGTCGGTATGCATGAGATGTAAACTAATTTCATGGAATCAAAGGGCGGCTGATGGGTCCAAGTAAACTTGGCTTCATCCTTTCTTTGGGGATCACTTAGGAAGTGACTAATTGAATCCCTCACCTTATTCAGGTCAGCAAAGTCTTCGACTCAACTCACGTCATCTCCCCATTTCCGATGGCGCCAGGGCCCTAGACTTGTTTGCTCCTCGCGAAAGCACCGGAGGCTCGCAGCACTGGAAGGTGCCACGGCCGCGGCTCGGGAACTCCGGAGAAGCGACGTAGCGACAATATGCTGCTCCGGATTGGAGGAGGTCGCGGAGGGAGGGGTGAGGCCCGCCGCCGGAAGTGACGCAAACCAGAAGCATCTATTCTGACTAGCTACTTGGAGCGTGGGTTTGGAAATAACGCTGTGAGGCAAACGTGGGTGAGCCGCTGGCAGCCTGTTGTCAGCTCTCCGCCAGGTTCACCGCGGGTTCGCTCGTTACGCACTTTGTGTTCTGTACTTCTCTGCAACTGGAACGGCACTGCCTCCCAGAGACTTCCGTGAGCGCCCCTAAAGAAGGAGCCAGGACGGTGTGCTGAGGCGGGGAAGCCGCTGTGAACGGCTGCGGCCAAGGAAGCGTGGACGTGCCTCCGCGTTCCCGAATTCAACTCGGCGCGAGCGGCGCGGTTTTTATGGGGCATTGGTGGCCCCGGCATCTAGTGGGTGGTTATTCATTGTCAAGACGCTGCTCACTAATTCGGAAAGTGAAAAAACCCACCGTTTTCCAGCATTTCTCTTGGAGGAGGACTAAGCAATAGGAAAAAAATGTCTATTTTCCCTAAAATATCTTTGAGACTCGAGGTTGAAAGTTACCTTAAAGATGGCTTTATGAATAAGGAGGTAGGTCTGACAAACATGTTAGATATTTGTTAAAATGCAAATATTTACATAGAAAAGTAGAAAAAGGTCTAAAAGGAAGGTAAAGTTTCTCGTGTTGCTTATTGTCTTTTCGAATGTAAAAAAAGCCAATATTTTCCCGCAGGTATTTGATATGTCTTCTGACATGAGGTAAATGAGGTAGACGGTTTAACACAAGAATGGGAAAGAAGGGAGGAGAAAAAGAATCGATTATGTGTCTGGCAGTAGGCATGGCACTGAAGGTGTTACAAGAAAAAGCCAGATAAGGGGAATTGGTCCTGTAGAGAAGGTATACCTGGACCGAGTGCCCGCTCTGGCACTTAGGTGGAAGGGCTTCTAAGTTTGTTGAGTGCCTTTTAAAAGCCACCAGTTGTGCTAGGTAGTTTGCAGACCTTTCTTAGTCTTCGCATTCTTTCTTTGGTAGAGATTTCCTCTCCATTTGAATAGGTGAGAGAGACCCGAGGGTCCCAAGTCATTGACACCATTGACCCAAATTGACACTTTGAAGTAACAATCCTGAAATCTGAAGCTGAAGTGCTTGGGTACAATGAAAGAAGGTACAGATTTGTAATCCCACCCTTCATTTGTTTTTCAGTGCTTTGAGTAAATCACATTATTTAACTTTGATTTTCTTTGCCTTCAAGAAGTAGATGGTTAAAAATACATTATAAGGTTGATTTAGGGTATTAATCATATGTGAAAGCAACTGGCATTGTTCGGGCACATGTTCATTCTGTGTGCTACCAGCAGAGCCTAACAGTGAAGACCTCAGTGCAGGTTAATTGATTGCTAAGCCTGTGCTCTTTCCATTTTACTTCCTGCCTTTAGGTAACTTTGTATTTTCCAAATTTTTGTTTTTTTTATTCAAAGTAAACCGTTTAAGTGGAAATTCATCTTTAAAGATGTTGCTGAAGCCGTAACTTGTAAACTTCTACATTTTATTTCCAAAGATGATAATAAGGGATCACTAGACAGTATAAAAGAGAAAATAGCTTCTCTTCACTTAAAATAACAAGGAGCGTATAAAGGTACAGAAAGGCGTTCAGCGTTTTTTCCAGCAATTTTAAAACGGTAAACATTCTTTTATAAAAGAAGATCCAAATATCTTTGGCACCATCTCTGCCTCAAACCTGTATATAATTTTAAAAACAGAAAAGCTGTTCCTTTGTAAAAATATAGATATAAAAGAATATTCAAGTTTAATAAAAATCTAAACCTTGAGAAACTATTAGGCTGGTGGACTGGTAGGCAGGCAAGTGGTTTATGAAGATTCTGTGAGGCTGGGTGTAGTCGAAGATGACAAAAAATGGGGGAATACATGTCTCAGAAAGCTTTAGTTAATTACAAGGAAATTTGGTTGTTTGACTATACCTTCATTTCTGATGGGTTATCTTTGCTACCTGTTTGGAATATAGTTGTTACATTTAATAAAATATTAAAAAGCCACTAACCAATCTGTTCTAGGATATGAGGTTAATAAGTTAATAGCTTTACAGAAATGACTTAATGGTTAATTATAAATAAGAATGAAATCCTGAATTTGTATGAATAATTGCAGATATTAATCTGTTCAAAATGTTAACAGTGCTTGGAAGTTTAGGCAATGTTTTTCCAAGCCCTTTATGTTGGACATTTTGTTAGCTTCATTACTACAAGTAAATCTCAAGAACCCTGTGAAGTATTACCATTACCGTAGTGTTAAGACATAAACAATACAGTAAAGGGAAATAGAACTGAAGTTGCTGAAAGGTGTTTCAGTAGTTGAAACAAATGTGCATACATATTATGCTTCATGTTCTTAATTCATGTAATGAAATTGAAACATCAACTTTCTTTTTAGGTTGTATCTGCTTTAGGTAAACAAGAAGCAGAAAGGAAGTTTGAAACTCTGTTAAATCGTTTGTCACACCCTCCATCATTCACAACTGTAAGAGTAAATACACATCTAGTCTCAGTACAACATGTGAAAAACCTGTTACTTGATGAACTTCGGAAGGTTTGTGCAAATTTTCTATGTCATTATTATGTACATATTTGTAATAGTCTGTCATGTTGCTCCCTGCTAAAATTCTACGAATGATAGAATAATATTCCAGTTTAACAAATAGGGAAATTGAGGATCATTAATGTTAAATTGTTCAAAATTACATAGTGGCAATGCCAGAACTTAACCTAGCACTTTTGATCCTGAAATTATTATTTTTAGTGACTGGATAGTTCATTCAATCCCTCTGGGCCTAGCTGCTTCATTATTAAAATACATATGAAGTGGTCCACTGTAACCCAGAAGTCTCATTTTGTAATAAGCTATCTAATTACTATCTAAATTAAAAGCAGAGGCAAGCAAGATTAAAAGGCTTCCATTTGTATATCACAGGCTCTGTTATCAGTTTAGGTATAACATTAAGAAATCTTCAGAAAAAAATCACTCGTATTGAGTAGTTTCTTTAACACATTACATTTATAGAATGTAATACTCTCAGAACAGTTCTATAAATTTCAAGCTGTGGGTAGGTGACTGTGCTGTTAAGAACCAGCTATGGTATTTTGAGTGTATGAGACCAAAAGTTAGAATACTTGGAGAAAAAACAATGTGACTTTCAACTGATAGTGAAAATTTTATTGAGAGTAATGGTATTAGGCATTTCAAGGGTGTGCTTAACTCCGTTTGGATTCCTCGACCTGTTTCCAGTGTGTTTGTCAGGGTGGGGAGGGGGTTCTTCCCACACACATAACACCAAGCAATTCCCGAACACCAGCAAGGTGCTGGAGAATGCACTCATTTCTGATGTTACCTGCCTGGAGACAGCACCAGATTTCCCAGGTTAAGGGCTCTGCCGTATAGGACTGCTCTCCACTCCCTACTCCAGATGCTGGTCACAAGCCCTAGGCTATTACTTGTGCTTCTGATTTACTGGGCTACAGGTTGAAGTTTCCCACAACCTCCCCCTTAGGTTCAGTTAATTGGCTAGAGCAGCTCACAGAGCTCCGGAAAACACATTTACCAGTTAAATAAAGGGTACCATAAAGGATACAAGTTAATAGCCAGATGAAGAGAAATACAGGGAAAGGCCCCAAATACAGGAGCTTCTGGCCTCGTGGAGCTTGGGGCCTGGCACTGGGCACATAGAGGTGTTATGTTTCCCCAAGCATAGAGGCTCTCCCTCACTGAGAAGCAAGAGCCAAGAGAGCAGAGGGCGAAAAGCTCTTCTCAGGGGTTTTTGTGAGGGCTTCATTGTATAGTCATGACTGACTAAATTACTGGCCATTGACTGATGCAACCTCCAGCCCCTGCCCTTGAGTGGGGGTCCAGTAGTCTCTCATAAACATGTCAAGACACCCATTTCACCTTTAAGACCACAGTGTTTTCAGAAACTGGATGAAGATCAAATAATACTTGGAAAATAAGTATTTGGTCATATGACTGACCAAATATGTATTTTTCTAAGCAACTAAAATGAGTACTTTTATATAGTCATGCATACACTTTTAGCTAGGAGAAAGGAAACTGTTCAGAGGCCCATCAGAAGTGTCCCTAACTCATGCAGATGCAAATTTTTTTTCCCCAGCCAGTTGTTCCTATAACCTAGATATTCTGTATCCTAGTCTGGTGGGTATACAAGATCTCATGGGTGAGGCAGACAGAATCACTCTGGATTGGCTTTGAGTCCTTTTCCTCAAAGGTTAAGATTAAAGAGAGAAGGTTGGATCCAGAGCAGTAGATAGAAAGCTGGTGGTAGAGCAGTTTGTATTTCTACCATTTAAGGGGGCTTGAGAAGGTTTTGGAGTGATTCTCTTTCCCCTTCCATGTTCCAAACCTCACATGTGTCCTAAAGAGATGTTCCCAGTGGGCTGATAGAAGAGTAGTTAGGTGCTTTGTCTCCAAATGTCTTTGGGCCACATGTTAAAATTTAATAACTTAAATTTCAATTGGTGGGTAAGGATGTGGAGAAACTGGGATCTTCATACATTGCAAGTAGGAACATCGAATGGATTTGGCTTCTTTGTTTTTTATTTTATTTTTTTATTTTATTGCATTCTTTTGGTTTTGGCTTATTTGGAAAACAGTTGATAGTCACTTAAAAAATTAGACATAACTTTGTTATATAACCCAGCAGTTCCACTCCTAGGTACTACCCAAGAGACATGAAATAGATGTCATTACAAATGCTTGAACCTGAATATTCACAGCAACATTGTTTATAATAGCCAAAAGGGAGAAACTATCCAAATGTTCATTGACTGGTTAATAGAAAAACAAACGGTAGCACAGTCACCCAAAGGAATACTGTTCAGCAATGAAGATGATGAGTTATGTATGCTACAACTTTGGTGAACATTAAAAACATCAGTGGGGGAAAGAAGCCAGATATAAGCCCTATAAATTTTGATTCCATTTATATTAAATACATAGAAAAGGCAAATTTGTAGAGAAAGAAAGTAGATTAGTGGTTTCCTGGGATTGGATCTGGTAACAGGATTGTCAAAAAATGGGCATGAGGAATCCTTGTGATGAAAAATACCTAAAAGTGGATAGTGGTGATGATGGTTGCATGATTCTTTACATTTATTAAAAGTCCTTGAGTTGTGCACTTAAAATGGGTGCATGACATGATAAATTAAATCCCAATAAGGCTGTTATAAAAGGGCATAGGGCAGAAACAAATATGTTTAATATAGTTGTTTAATATAAATAAAAGATGATATGCTTGGTTTTAAAAAAGTTTACTTGTGTTGTTTTATGGAAGTTATGCACATGTGTGGTTTTATGAAACTTATTTCTTGTATCATTTTAACATCTGATAGGAAAGAGGAAAACCTTGGCTTGAGAAGGACTGATCTCTATAGCATAAAGCAGATAATACTTTTAAACAAATTATAAAATAGTACTTTTAAAACAAATGACAAAATCCATTATCTTTCTTCTTCTTGGAAAGATCAGTTTACCATAGTCTGGAAGGTCATCAAACAGAGAGGGAAAGAAAGGAATAGGACAGTGAGAGAATGAGTTTACTCTTCAGCTTTCTTATAGTTATGTTATATATGGTTAGTCTGAAATATCCTTTGCCTCAAAGAAGCACAAGTCAGGAGAGCTATTGACTTTGTAGAAATGTAGTTGGAATTCTAAAATACAATTTTTTTCTCTGTTATTACTAACTTAGAAATGTTTTTCTAGGTAATGTATGGATATTACAAAGCAATGCAAATATCTGTTACTGCTCTTCTGTGTAGTATGTGAAAATTCTCTGGCTTACAATGGTAGAAACTTGTTCTCAAATATTTGCATGTTGTCCTCTGATAGAGTATATAGTCCTTGCTGTCCAATTCACTATTCTGCTCTCGTTCTGATGTATGGAGTGCCCAGTCTTCTTTGGCCTGCAACAGTGGTATGCTGGAATATACTGAACTGGGAAAAATAACATTTTGTAGTATTTGCTGATTTCAGTGGTGTAACTACTCCCACCATGGTCAATTTCAAGCTAACATTGTGACTGTGGAGTTTGGAAGAGATGCATATAATTGGCTCTCTTTGAGACTGTGTGAGCAGGCCCCATCACCTATACCACTGGCCCTGTATCCATTTCTGAAGTCTGAAGGCTGACTATGATACAGGGTACTGAAAATCCTGAACTTTGGCCAAGAAGCGTTTATTTCTCTCATCAAAACTGACATGGCATCCAGTGTTAATAGTGTATAATAAATGGTGTTTAATAATCTCAATCTTGAGTGTCCTGTTCAGGAGCTTTTCTTAAAAAAAGTACTACATGCGATTCTACATTGGATATGTTTTCAAAGTAGGTCACTTACCGTAAACATGGTTTATATTTATAAAGCTAAAGAATAAGCATAACTGATCTTTCATAAAGAAGTCATGATAGTTCAGAATCAAGTAATAGAGAAAAATAGTTGTTTTGAAGTGTTTGATTTTTATAGTGTCCCAGTGTCCCATAGTGAAAATGTTATAAACCAAGCCTTATGCTCTGCTAGGTAATGACACTGAGAAGCTCCATAAATTGAAATTTATCAAATAAATAACTGCTTTATAATTTTATGTATTTATTTTTAGCAGCAGTTTAATGGATTAAGTGTTCCTATTCTTCAACATCCAGACCTTCAGGATGTCTTACTTATTCCTGTTATTGGACCTAGGTTTGTAACTTATTTTGAAATTATATTCTGCAAATTTGTACAGGTTCTTTTTTTTACTCTTTGGTATTTTCTCTATGATTAGCTACTTTATATAGATAGGAATTCACACATTCATAAATGCTGATTTCTTAATCATGGAGAATATTATAAAAGGAAATGAGGAATAGGCTCATATACCTTGAGATTAATGGATTTAGGTCTGTTGGGTTGAGCAGTTTTTCCCCCTGCTTTCCAAAAAACTTTTTTTATTTATTTGTATATCTTTAGGGATTCCACTGCTAAATTAAAACATTTTTTGAGCTACAAAAATATAAAGCAGCATATTTCCTACTTTCATAACTGATGAAAAGTTTTATTCATTAATTCACAGTTATAATATCAGGTACTAATAGAACAGGCATTGTTCTCACTTATATTTGGAAAGCATATATTTGAAAATTAGAAAAAAAAAACAGGCTTTCATATTATAATGGGACTTATATTTCCAAGGAACATTTTACAGTCCCTAATTATGGTACATTTTTATACCCCTAAGATTTATAGTAAATATAGAAGTGTTCATTTTGTTAAACCTTTAAGATTATTTAGTGGTCAACAATAAAGCAGTGGTTCAGTAAGTTATGGCTTACCTATGCAGTGGAATAGTGGACTGTCATATCCTTTAATGTGGGAGAATTTTATTTACCAATAAGACAAGATGTTTATGATTAAATATCAAAGGCATGTTGCCATGTGTAGGATAATCACGTCTTTTTTACAATTAAAATACACACATTTATATATATTTATGTGTATCGAAAAAACCTTGTTAATGTCTTAACTCCGGGGAGGTTGGATTGGGAAAAAGGGTAAGTGGAGATTTTCATTTGTAACATTTCTGTTTTATTTTTTACTATAAGCATTTATTAATTTTACAATTGAAAAATTAATTTCATAAGTTTCTTGTTCTGTTTATTTTTTAAGGTGAAGTTTGCATACACTGAAATAGAGATGTTAATTATGTGTACTGTTTGCTGACTTTTGGCAATTTTATACAGCTGTGCAGCCAAGACCCATCCAATCAAAATACAGACAGTTTCCATCACCCCAAAAAATACTCTTGCATTCTGCTCCCCTACCAGGAAATTGCTGTTCTGATTTACTGTTCAGTAAGTTACTATAGTTGATCACAATCACAGGTCTTTCAAGGTTATGCTTCTTGATTCATTTCAGAATATATTGTGGATGTCTTCCATGGTGTCCATATTTTTCCCTGATTCTGTGTAATTCCATTTTTCTTAATAGCTATATAGGTAGTCTATTATCATTGAGCTCAGTTTTATTTTTTCAGCCCTCTATTGATAGACATTTAGTTTTCCCATATTTCATTATTAAAACAGTGAATATTCTTAGGATACTTACATAAGCATTATCTATAGGATAAATGGGTACAATGTGGAATTGGTTGTTCCATGGCCTGTGTGTATTTTAGTTTGAGATATATGACCCTCTTGGAGACATTAAGGGGTAAACCCTTTTTATTTTATATATATATATATTTATTTATTTATTTAGGTATCATTAATATACAATTACATGAGCAACATTGTGATTACTAGATTCCTCCCATTATCATGTCCCCACCACATACCCCATTATAGTCACTGTCCATCGGCGTAATAAGAAGCTATAGAATTACTACTTGTCGTCCTTGTGTGATACTGCCTTTCCCGTGCCCTCGCCCCATATTAGGTGTGCTAATCATAATGCCCCTTTTTCCTCCTTATCCTTCCCTTCCCACCCATCCTCCCCAGTCCCTTTCCCATTCTTGAGGTCTGTGAGTCAGCTGCTTTTTGTTCCTTCAATTTTTTTTTGTTTTTATACTCCACAGATGAGTGAAATCATTTGGTACTTGTTTTTCTCCATCTGGCTTATTTCACTGAGCGTAATATCCTCTAGCTCCATCCATGTTGTTGCAAATGGTAGGATTTGTTTTCTTTTTATGGCTGAATAATATTCCATTGTGTATATGTACCACATCTTCTTTATCCATTCATTTACTGATGGACATTTAGGTTGCTTCCATATCTTGGCTATTGTAAATAGTGCTGCGATAAACATAGGGGTGCATATATCTTTTTGAATCTGAGAAAGTCGTAGGAGTGGAATTCCTGGGTCAAATGGTGTTTCTATTTTTAATTTTTCGAGAAACCTCCATATTGCTTTCCACAATGGTTGAACTAGCTTACATTCCCACCAGCAATGTAGGAGGGTTCCCGTTTCTCCACATCCTCACCAGCATTTGTTGTTCTTAGTCTTTTTGATACTGTCCATCCTAAGTGGAGTAAGGTGATATCTCATTGTGGTTTTTATTTGCATTTCCCTGATGATTAGTGATGTGGAGCATCTTTTCATGTGCCTGTTGACTATCTGAATTTCTTTTTTGGAGAAGTGTCTGTTCATATCCTCTGCCCATTTTTTAATCAGGTTATTTGCTTTTTGGTGGTTGAGGCATGTGAAATCTTTATATATTTTGGATGTTAACCCCTTGTTGGATATGTCATTTATGAATATATTCTCCCATTCTGTAGGATGCCTTTTTGTTCTGTTGATGATATCCTTTCCTGTACAGAAGCTTTTTAGTTTCATGTAGTCCCATGTGTTCATTTTTGTTTTTGTTTCCCTTGCTCGAGGAGATGCATTAAAAAAAAGTTGCTCATATTTATATTCAGGAGATTTTTGCCTATGTTATCTTCTAAGAGTTTTATGGTTTCATGGTTTACATTCAGGTCTTTGATCCATTTTGAGTTTACTTTTGTGTATGGGGATAGACAATAATACAGTTTCATTCTCTTGCACGTAGCTGTACAGTTTTGACAACACCAGTTGTTGAGGAGGCTGTCATTTCCCCATTGTCTGTCCATGGCTTCTTTATCATATATTAATTGACCACATATGCTTGGTTTAATATCTGGACTCTGTATTCTGTTCCACTGGTCTATGGGTCTGTTCTTGTGCCAGTACCAAATTGTCCTGATTACTGTGGCTTTGCAGTAGAGCTTGAGGTTGGGATGCGAGATCCCCCCTGCTTTATTCTTCCTTCTCAGGATTGCTTTGGCTATTTGGGGTCTTTTGTGATTCCATATGAAATTTAGAACTATTTGTTCAGTTCATTGAAGAATGCTATTGGTATTTTGGTAGGGATTGCATTTGATCTGTAGATTGCTTAAGGCAGGATGGCCATTTTAACAATATTCTTCCTAGCCAAGAGCATGGGATGAATTTCCATTTATTAGTATCCTCTTTAATTTCTCTTGGGAATGTCTTACAGTTTTCATGTCTTTCACTTCCTTGGTTGGGTTTTATTCCTGGGTATTTTATTCTTTTTGATGCAATTGTGAATGGAATTGTTTTCCTGATTTCTCTTTCTGCTACTTCATCATTAGTGTATAGGAATGCAACAGATTTCTGTGTATTAATTTTGTATCCTTCAACTTGTTTATATATTAGGTATCATATTGTGTACTCTTTGTCTATCCCTTGACTGACTTTGGCAGTAGTTGGTTTAATTTTGTATTTGCTTAGTAATTAGTTGTTCTACTTTCTTTACTGTGGTTTTATTACTTCTGGTGACCGCTACTTAGCCTTAGGAACACTTCCATCTATAGCAGTCCCTCCAAAATATACTATAGAGGTGGTTTGTGGGAGGTAAATTCTGTCAGCTTTTGCTTATCTGGAAATTGTTTAATCCCTCTTTCAAATTTAAGTGATAATCTTGCTGGATAAAGTATTCTTGGTTAAGGTCCTTCTGCCTCATTGCATTAAATATATCATGCCACTCCCCTCTGGCCTGTCAGGTTTCTGCTGAGAAGTTTGATGATAGCATGATGGGCTTTCCTTTGTAGGTGATCTTTTTTCTCTCTCTGGCTGCCTTTAATACTCTGTCCTTATCCTTGATCTTTGGCATTGTAATTATATGTCTTGGTGTTGTCTTCCTTGGTCCCTCGTGTTGGGAGATCTGTGCACCTCCATGGCCTAAGAGACTATTTCCTTCCCTAGATTGGGGAAGTTTTCAGCAATTACCTCCTCAAAGACACCTTCTATCCCCTTTTCTCTCTCTTCTTCTTCTGGTATCCCTATAATACAAATATTGTTCTGTTTGGATTGGTCACAGAGTTCTCTCAATATTCTTTCATTCCTAGAGATCCTTTTTTCTCTCTGTGCCTTACCTTCTTTGTATTCTTCTTCTCTAATTCTTATTTCATTTATTGTCTCCTCCACCATATCTTATTTGCTTTTAAATTTCTCCACTGTGTTCCATAATGATTGGATTTCCATGCTGAATTCATTCCTGAGTTCTTGAATATTTTTCTGTACCCCCATGAGCATATTTATGATTTTCATTTTGAAATCTATTTCAGGCAGATTGATGAGTTCAGTTTCACTTTACCTTTTTCTGGTGCTTGTGGGATTTTGGTTTGATCTAGATTCCTTTGACGTTTCATGTTTGTATGTGGCGCCCTTTAGTGCCCAGAAGCTCTACTCTCTGGAGCGGCTCAGCCCCTGGAGTGATGTCAGGGGTCACAAGGGAGCGGTGTTGTTTCCTGGGGGGGAGGAAAGAGCTGTTTCCTGCTTCCTGGCTGCTATGCCTGTCTCCACTGCCAGAACCAGTGGGCCGAACACACCGGTGTAATATTCTATGCTTTGTGTTTTTAGCTGCCATAGAGGGGGGCTTCCCTCTTGCTGGCCTGATGTCAGGGCAGGAGATGCTTGTTTGCGAGCCAGATATGGGTTTACTGGAAGGAAGGCACAGCATGCTACATATCATGGAGGCCTTGGAGCTGCCTAGCCAGCTAAGGTGATGGAGCACCTGAAGCTCTTAAGTTCCCATCCTCCTGGGCAGAGTGTACCTGGTCATTTTGTCTACCTGTCCTTTTCTCCTGAGCAGTAAGCTCTGTGCAGTCCTTGCCCCTTCAGTAGCCCTCTCGCTGTTAGGAAGTCTCTCAGACTGCCTGCCTTTC